AACTTGTATTGATAATCAATACAAGTTATGTGTCAACTTGTATTGATAATCAACTTGTATTGATAACCAGATGTCTGGTTAAACATTACTTCTGGTTGTGTCTGTAAGGGTGTTTCCAGAGGACATTAGTATTTGAATCGGTGAACTGAGTAAAGCAGATGGCCCTTCCCAGTGTGGGTGGGCATCACCTAATCTGTTGAGAGCCCAAATAGAACAAAAGGGTGGAGGAAGGTGGGAATTTGTTCTCTGCCTGACTGCTTTGAGCTGAGAAACTGATCTTCTCCAGCCCTTGAGGCCCCTAGTTTTCAGGCCTTCAGACTCAGACTGGAATCTACAACGTTGGTTCTTTGACTCTCAGGCTTTTGAACTACCACTGCCACCTGCTTTCTGGGGTCTCCAGTTTGCAGACAACAGATTGTGGGACTTCTCAGCCTCCATAATTGTGCAAGCCAATTCTTCACAGCACATCATACATATACACACATACTATTGGTTCTCTTTCCCGGGAGAACCCTGACTAATAAATATGCTTATCTTTCATCTCTTCCCCTGAGCTGCTCTCATTGACTTCTGTGGCTCTGCAGCATCATGAAAGTCTATCTCTGCTCTCCTCTGTTCTCTCTTTTCTTTTGTCCCTGTTTATGCCTTATACCTGCCAGAAGTGTCCTTTGTCCTGACTGAGCCACAATGATGATAATGTTCAAAGTTAAAAGACTAACTTCCAATCTAGAACACTTTTTACCATTTACTGTGTTATAATCAGCATTAACTCCATAAACTCATAAAATCTGCTTGGCAGCAACACCATAAAATATGTATTGTTATGACCTCCATCTGTAGAAAGAGATGAGAAATAAAGCAACTTACCCAAGGTTGTTCCTTTATCCCATAAAATGATGGCTCCAGAGTCTATGCTCTCAGCCACTGTGAAAAACAGTCCCTAAACCACAGGTTTTCCATAATTAGTGTGGAGAAGAGGCCTTACAAAATAAGTAAGTATTTAGTGTATTCAATGGTTTGGAAGCATCAATCCTATTTCTTTTAAATTATGTTTCTACTTGCCAAATTAGTATAACTCTATTCTCTACCTGTCTCTATATTATGACTTGGAAGACAGCTGATTATCACTGTTTTCCTTCTTTTCTACATCTCATCTCTTTATCTTTCACATTTCCCTGCTTCCTTCCCACCCTGTTTTTCTGAACACCACGTTGCAAATCTTGTCGGGATAACATTTTTCTAAAATTTATTTGAGTAGTGGGTCTCCTACAATTTTGTAATCTCTACACTTAACACAGTTCGAGGATTAAAATATATTATTCTGAGAGACTACACCATATATTTTTCAAGAACAGCTCTGATTTTACTGCAGTAATAAAAATAGTCAGAGGGCTAGGTGGCCCTAGGCAAAAATCATGTGTATAGCTGTTCTTCCACTCGCCATGACTTGCATCTTTTGGTATAATCTTGTCTAAACAGTCTGCCTTTGTCACAGTCTCATCCACACCCACACATTCCAAGATGAATAAAAACTTCTGCTTTATTAGCAACCAACCACAGGTAAATCAATTTTTTAATTATCTGTGTTCCTTAAAATTGCATCATCAATTCCACCACTTTAGTAATCGAATTCAGAGAGTTGGCTGTAACAAAGTACTGCCACAGGGTAGCAATGGAACATAACCATGGCTGATGAATTCTGATGGGTTTAATTTGCTTATGGTCAACCATACTTGCTCTAACTTGACTCCCTTTATACTAGTGGTTTTAACCATGATCCACAATAGGAAATACCTTTACATTACACACACACACACACACACACACACGTAATTTAAAGATATTTCTTATTGCATGTGTAGATACATATATGTATATACATATATATACACACACAACCAAACTTTTACTATGTAAATGCTCTCTGAAATTCTCTATTCTAATATATATCATTTTTTTAGAAATTGCTAATCCCGACTCACCCAATGACTCATGACTAATTAATAGGTTGCAACTCCTAGTTTGAAATTCGTTGCTTCAGATTAGTGATGCATCTGCTTCAGAATAAAATTCAAACTCCTTAACATAGCACTAGAAGGCTCTTCATGATTTCTCTTCTTTTCTCTCCAGCTTCATCTCTCACCACTTCCCCTTTGAATGCTAAACTCCAGGCATACAGAACTACTCACATTCTCCAGGAAAACTGCTGTCTTTCCTCAAAATCTTTACATGACATATATTGTGTACTATTCACCCTTGTATTTGAGTTCAGCATAACGACTAGCATATATTAGTCATTCAATAAATAGTTGAATCAGTAAAGGAATGAATAAATAAACAAATGAAAAATATTATATCAAAGTCTATGCAAAGAATGTACTTTGTCAATAACATCCCATAGATTTCACTCTGAAAATGCAGGTATAGGCTACAGAAAGGAGAAAAAACACCCAATAACCTAGAGATTTATTAAGGAAAATTGTAATTTCTGGAAACCGGAGTAAACAGCTTCATAATAGCTTATTTACTTTGAGGAAATTTTTACCCATTTAATTTGGTTCAGCTGGATTTTGGTCATTAACAAATCAGGCAGACAAGTAAAGTTGATTGTGTATTAAATTCCACACCCTCCTTGGTATAATTATGACTTGGAAAAATAAGCTCTAATGGCAAAAGTCCTCGTTATTGTAGTAACGGCCTCTATGGTATAACAATCAGAGAGAAATATTTAGCCTGTCTATTTGCTAACGAAAAGTGCTCAGTGGTGGCCTATTACCATTGGTCAAAATAACCTGTCCCCAAAGTGGAACACAGCAATGGTGTATTAGAGACCAATGAATCTCAACCTTCCTTGTGAATTTGGACCACATAGGGAATTTTGTTAAAATGCAGATTCTGATTCAATAGGTCTGGAATGGGGACTGAGACTGCATTTCTAACAAGGTTCCAGGTGATGCTCATGCCGTGGGCCCATGGCCTAGACTCTAAATAGAAAGAAAAGTACACAATTTATTGAAGACATTCTGTTTTGCTCCTAGGAATCATTATTTCCTAGCTCAAATATTTTTGTTACCAAGGTAACTGGGCCACAAGCAGGTCCTATGACCACTTGACCTAATGACTTGTGCTGGAGGAACTGTTTTAGCCAAGCAGCAGCCTCTCCTCCCTCCACAGAATTTCAAATTAAAAGGAACAAGTACTATTTGTCCCAGAATAAGATATCTTCTAGTTACCAGTGAAGCAGCCCTTTCTTATTTACCTCTTTACATCAGGAACTTCATTGCTGACAACATTCTACATTGCCACTACCTAGAATTGAAGCATGTTGAAAAGATGTATAAAAGCCATGCCAAAACCAAATAGCTCAGTATATTATTTTGGCGCTTATGCCTCTCACTTAAGAATTGTTTTTCTGTTAGATTTCCTTCAGGTTTTCAGTGGAAGATAATCACATCCCATTCTCATATAGTCAGCTTCCCATCTGTCAGTAACATCTGTAAGTCAAGAGTTTCTGACAATAATAGAAAAATGTGGGTGCTTTTTTCCCCCAGTTCTTCCTTTTTTAAACAAATTTTTTTTTTTGCTATATACCTTTTTCCAAGAAGAGAAAAAAAAGGGGGACATGTACAGAGTTGCTTTAATTAAAGGGAACGCTCCTGTGCCTTTTTCTCAAAAAATAAGCCATGTGTACTGGTCAAAAGTTTTTCCATTAGCTCTGTGGCGTTAGTTGCACTGGGCAACTTTAAAATGCCCAAGTATAATGATTTCATCAGAGTGCATAAAAAAGTCAATAATCCATAAGTCAGTTTACGACTCTGCATTATGTGTCACTTTCAAGCTAATACTATGTACTCTAATGTTTAGTGTATTGGGGGAAATATATATATCATAGATGGGATGGGAATCAAAGATTTTAGCAACCTGATCCACTAACAATAAACCCGGTGCAAATTAATGAAAAAAAGTAATGCCAGGGACTTAAATTGAGGATCTCAAGTTGGTAATGGTAGGATGAAAGAAACACCCGCCATGAGAATAAAAGGAATTAGCTAAGGAAGGGGTGGAAATAGCAGAGTTTGAGAGCACAATGATTCATTTCTCTCACATTCTCCCTATATTTCCAATCACTTTCTATGAATTTTGAGATGGTCACAAGAGTACATCCACCCATGAAAACACAGGTACAATCAATGTTTCCTCGTCCCCAAGGCACTCCATAAGCACTGATAAGAATACAACCCACTACTATTTATGGGTTACAAAACACGCTCTCTAGTCATGTCTCTTTGGAAAGACTGCATCATTTGGAGAAGTGCAGTGTCTTATTTTTCCCCACACACTGCTCCCAACGATGGCTCCAAATGGTTCTCTGCCATTTCTGCTCCCATTCTAAGGAAGAGAAATTAATCTCTCTTCCTTTATCAGTCAAGAGGGCATATATTTTCTGTGTCCCTTCTCCAAGTGTGACTCTGTTCATGTATTTTTTAAAAAGAAGGACTAGATTTTTTTTTCTGCAATGCATTATATTTGTTTTAAAGTTTTAAGTCCATATATATACTTGCAGTACAAATACCTGTCTGGAAGCCCCACGGGCAACTGGGGAGTGAGGCTGGAGGTTAGAGGAATGAGGGGATGTTGGGGTTTTTATTATTTGAATTATTTTATCTTACTTTTATTTTAAAAATAGGAAAAAGTCTTGGTAATTATGGAAAAGGGAGCTGAACTAACTGGTGCCACTTCCCACCCCACTGCGGTGAGACTCTCCTAAGCATTTCCCTAACTTGTGTCTCTAAGCGACACGGAGAAAAATGCTGGAACGGAATCAAAAGGAGCAAAAACTTATCTCCAAGTGAGGGCAGGTGAGGAAATTCTAAGAAAGGGTACTGGATTCATTTGGTAAAGAGAAAAATGGAAGAAAGTCAGAAGAGTAGAGTGTGTGTTGTGGAGGGGGTCCCCTGGAAGGCTGGGGATTAGGGGAGAAGGAAAGCGCGCGGACTCACCCCCCAGCCAGTTGTTGAAGATGTTCTCGAGCATAGTGACCAGGATGCAGAAGGAGATGGGCAGGTCGCTGAGCGCCAAGGAGCAGGTGAAGATGTTGGTGACGGTGCGCATGGCCTCGCTGAGGGTCACCACGTAGACCACCAGCGCGTTGCCAAAGAGCGCCAGGACGAAGATGAGCACGCCGGTGAGCACGAAGGCCAGCTTGGCGCGCCCAGGCAGCTGCGGGGTGTAGACCAGCGGCCGCAGCCCGTACAGCGCGATGAACTGCGCCCGTGTCGGGTTGTAGTCCCGCAGCAGCCGGGAGAACTGCTCCGGGGTGATGTTGAGCTACTGCATGCTGCGCGCGCCCCGCGTGCCATCCACCTCCCGGGGCTCGGACTCCCGCGCGGCGGGGCGCGGGCTACCGGGGGACCCGCGCGGCGGCCGCCTCCCTCCCCTGCAGGCCGGGACAGCCTCCGCTCTGGACTCGGGCGCACGAGAGGGCTCCCGCCAGCACCTCGGGAGGTTCTGGAGAAGGAAAGCAGTGCAGGGTTTTAACTCACAATCAACAGGCGAGAAGCCAAAGCGAGGGAGACGATCCCGTTGACCAAAAATGTTCGTAGTTCAAAGTCTTCTGCTCCTCTCTGAGGCCCGGCGCTGTGGCCGTCCGGAATGCCGGAGCGACAGTGCCCGTGCTTCTCACTCCCCAGCCTCTGGCCACGCGGTGAAGACACCGCACCGGCTCCGGGGGCGACGGAGGGTGGGTCTGGAGCTCGGCTGCGCGCCCCTCACTCCCTGCTTCAGCAGCGGGGACCCCGCCTCCGAACCCTCTGCGCAAGGGAAACTCCTCCCGGGCTCCCCAGTTTCTGCCACCGAGCCCCTTTCTCGTGCCTCAGATCACGCTTATGTGTAAAATTGAGTATTGGGGTTTTCCACAGTCTCACGGTTTCTCCTCTTAAGAAATAATGTGGGCCACAGCTAGCCAAGGCAAAAGAAGATTTATTTTTAATTATTTTTCTGTATTAAAAATTAATTACAGCGCCTAGGAAATTACACAGGTAGTACAGAGAGGTCCAGTGCACTCTTCGTCTGGTTTCTCCAGTTGATTACATCTTATTTAACTATGGTACGATACAAAACCAGGAATTTGCTATGTGTGTGATATGTGTGTGTGTAGGTCTGTGTCATTTTATACCAAGTGTAGATTCCTGTAACCGCCACCAAAATCAAGATAGAAAATTCTTCTATCACCACAAAGGCCTCAGTGCAGCTACCCCTTTACTGTCACACCCAGCCTGTCCTCCCACCTCTAACCCCTGCTGATAACTCATCTATTCTCCATCTCTATATTTTGAGAGGTTGTATAAACAGAATCTTACAGTATATAACCTTTTTTTAAAACATCTTTATTGGAGTGTAATTGCTTTACAATGTTGTGTTAGTTTCTGCTTTATAACAAAGTGAATCAGCTATACGTATACATATATCCCCATATCCCCTCCCTCTTGCGTCTCCCTCCCACCCTCCCTATCCCACCCCTTTAGGTGGTCACAAAGCACCCCTGGGCTGATCTCCCTGTGCTATGCTGCTGCTTTCCACTAGCTGTCTATTTTACATTTGGTAGTGTATATATGTCCATGCTACTCTCTCACTTTGTCCCAGCTTACCCTTCCCCCTCCCCGTGTCCTCAAATCCATTCTCTATGTCTCCGTCTTTATTCCTGTCCTGCCCCTAAGTTCATCAGAACTTTTTTTTTAGATTCCATATATATGTGTTAGCATACGGTATTTGTTTTTCTCTTTCTGACTTACTTCACTCTGTAGGACAGACTCTAGGTCCACCCACCTCACTACAAATAACTGAATTTCGTTTCCTTTTATGGCTGAGTAATATTCCATTTATATATGTGCCACATCTTCTTTATCCATTCATCTGATGATGGACACTTAGGTTGCTTCCATGTCCTAGCTATTGTAAATCGTGCTGCAACGAACACTGTGGTACACGTATCTTTTTGAATTATGGTTTTCTCAGGGTATATGCCCAGCAGTGGGATTGCGGGGTCATATGGTAGTTCTACTTTTAGTTTTTTAAGGAACCTCCGTACTTCTCTCCATAGTGGCTGTATCAATTTACATTCGATACTAATTCTTTTTCTAGTCAGCATCATGCTCTGCAGATTCATCCAAGTTGTTAGGTATATCCGTAGTTCCTTTTTATTGCTGAGGATGTATCACGGTTTAACCAGTCACCCATAGTAAGATGTTTTGGTTGTTTCCAGTTTGGGGCTATTACAAATAAAGCTGCTATGAAGAACCAGGTACAGATTTTTGTGTGGACATGTTTTCATTTCTTTGGGAAATGCCAAGAAGTTTGGTTGTTGAGTCTATGGTCTGTATGTTTAGGTTTTTAAGAAATTGCCAAACTACTCTTCAGAGTGGTTGTTCCATTTTACGTTGCCATCAGCAATACATTGGAGATTCAGTTTCTCCACATCCTTGCCAGCATTTGGTAGTTTCATTACTTTTATTTTAGCTGTTTTAATAAGTGTGCAGTGCAGTGATATCTTATTGAGTCTTAATTTGCATTTCCCTAATAGCAGATGATGAATATCTTCCCATGTGTTTATTTGCCATCCCAATATCTTCAGTGAATTTTTTTTTTTTTTTTGCTGTATGCGGGCCTCTCACTGCTGTGGCCTCTCCCGTTGTGGAGCACAGGCTCCGGATGCACAGGCTCAGCGACCATGGCTCACGGGCCCAGCTGCTCAGCGGCATGTGGGATCTTCCCGGACCGGGGCACAAACCCATGTCCCCTGCATCGGCAGGCGGGCTCTCAACCACTGCGCCACCAGGGAAGCCCTTCAGTGAAATTTTTAAAAATATAGTTTACCCACTTTCTAATTCAACTGTTTGGCCTAACTGCTGTTGAGTTTTGAGGGTACTTTTTATATACTAGATGCCAGTCCTTTGTCAAATAAGTGGTGTGTAAATATTTTTCTTCTGTCTGTACCTTGTTATTTATCCTCTTAACAGAGTCTCTCACAGATCAAAGTTTTTAATTTTGATGAAGTTCTATTAATTTTTTTATAGGTTATACTTTTGATTTTTTTTATAGGTTATACTTTTGATGTCCAGTCTAAGAACTCTTCACCAAATGTTGTGTCCCCAGATTTTTCTCCCATGTCTTTTTCTAAAAGTTCTATGGCTTTACATTTGACATTTTGAGCTCTCTATTTTGTTCCATTGACCTAGTGTTTCTTTGTCCTCCAGTACCTCACAGGCTTGAATACTGCAGCTATGTAAGTCTTGAAACCAGGTAGAGTGATTTCTGCCACTTAATACTTTTTGTAAAATAAAATATTTTTGTACAAATTATTTTAGATATTCTAGGGCCAGTGCCTATTCAAATAAATTTTAGAATATATTTGTGTATCTCTACAAAATGCCTTGCTGGGATTTTGATAGGAATTGAGACCTTTCCTATGTTGAGTTTTCCAATCTGTGAATAGAGTAGGTCTCACTGTATAGTTAGATCTTCTTTGATTTCTTTCATCAGTGTTTTGCAGCTTTCAGCATATAGGTCCTGTATATATTTTGTTAGATTTGCAGTTAAGTTTCTTTTTAAGCATTTGTGCATGGTATAGTATTTCTAATTTTCAGTTCCACATATTCATTGCTAGTACATTGAAATGTGATTATTTTGTATGTTGATCTTGAAACCTACAATGTTGGTGAATTCACTTATTAGTTTTGGGCAGTTTTTTTGTTGTTGTTGCTTTCTTGGGATTTTCTATGTAGACAATCATGTCACTTGAGAAGACAGGAAGTTTTATTTCTTCCTTTGTGACCTGTATGCATTATATATCCTTTTCTTGCCTTATTGCAATGACTAGAGCTTCCAGTAGTATGATAAATGGCAGTAATGAGAATGGATATCATTGTCTTACCACCAGTCTTAGGGGATTAGGTCTTGTTGGTTGATGGTGTGGTTGAGTTCTATTTCCTTGCTGATTTTTTCTCTACTTATTCTATTAATTGTTGAGAGAGGAACTCCAACTATAATTGTGGATTTGTCTATTTATCATTTCAGCTTTATTAGTGTTTGTCCCACATATATTGTAGCTCTATTTCTTAATGAATGCACATTTAGGACTGATATGTCTTCTTGATGCATTAACTCCCTTATCATTATACAATGTCCCTTTCTGTACCAGGTAGTTTTCTTTGCTCTGAAGTTGATTTTATGCTATAATAATATAACCACTCCTGCTTTCTTTTGATTAATGTTTGTATGATATTTCTTTGTCCGTCCTTGTACTTTAAACCTATCTATATCATTACATTTAAGTTGAGGTTGTTATAGAAATAAATCTTTGGGTCAATTAAAAAAAATCCACTCTCCAGTCTCTTTTAATTTGTATATTTAGACCATTTATATTAAATGCAATTGTTGCTATGTTAGGATTCAAGTCAACCATTCTATTTATTTATTTGTTTGTTTTCTGTTTGTTCTTAGTTTCTCTAATTTGTTTTTCCTGCCTGTGGGTTATATAAACATCTTTTAGCATCTCATTTAGATTTAACTGTAGTGGTTTTGACTGTATCTCTTTACGTATCCATTTTCTATGACTGCTGTATGTAAGTCACACTGCTTATGGTATTTTGTTATGGCAGCCCAAGTAGACTAAGATACCTACATTTTTCTAATTTTGCCCCAGCTCTTTCCTTAATTTGACATGAATCCTGTAGCCATTGTTCTCTATCACTAACTTTCATGATAATAAAAAGCTGAGAAACATAAAAAACTCAGAATATAAATATTCAGAAATAGACCTGCTGACCTATATCTGGTATTGGAAATGAAGTAGTTATCTAAATCTAATGTTGGCATCTACCCACATGTTACTGCAAACATCTAGGAATGTTTTTATGGTAATTTTTAAAAACAATGCAACAGTGTTGTTCTATTATATTTTAAAGAATCTGGCATTCCAAAAAAGCAATGATAAATGAAGTTCAACATTATAACTATTGATGGAAGCCTAAGAAAAGGAAGATGTCCTAATGGTTGCAGCCCACTGAAATCTCCTTGTAGAATTGATAGCCCACATCTGTGAGCCTGATTTTCTGGACTGTGGGTTGTAGATTTGGGTCACAGAGGGTAGCCCTCAAATAGTGCAGAAGTCACAGAAATTTAAGACCTGCCCCACCTCTCCCTGGGCCTTGGTACTGGGACCAAAGAAGGCTAGTAGTACAGCTGCACACCAATCCAGAGAAGAAATCTCAGGATCTGTTAGAAGCTGGAGTGAGTCTGGTGTCACCATATTCAATCGCCTGTGCTATGTGGACCCATGT